AAGAGTAAAAGGGAAATAGCCTGTTGAGTATACTAGGTAAAGTGTTGGGTAGATTTATTTTTGAAAGTGATAAGGATAAAACTAAGTAGAATTTCAAAGGATGAAGGAGGATGTATAGGTCAGTGATGAGGCTCAGGTTATGTTTGTAAGAGAGAAGGGAACTTTTCCAGTAAAAGTAGGCATTAGGCAGAGATGTGTGATGTCACCCTGGTTCAATAAATTTATAGATGGAGTTGTAAAAGAAATAAGTACTAGGATCTTGAAGTGTGGGATTGGAAGATAATGAGTTTGACATGAAGTGGAAATTGTCACAGTTACTTTTTGCCAATGGCACAGTTCCTTTGAAAGAGAGGTTGCTGACAATGGTTAAGGAGTTTGAGAGGGTGTTTAACAAAAATTAAAATTAAAGGTTAACATAGAAAAGAGTAAGGTGATGAAAGATAAAAAAAAATTATGTAGTGAAATACTGGATATCAAGATTGAAGGGAGTGTGGGGGAAGTGAATGTATATATATATTTGAGAATGTACATGTCTGCAGATAAAATCTACGAAAGACAAGGTGAACCAAAGAATAGACAAGGGGGGGGGGATAGGTTGTGTGTTCAGGCATCTGTTAAAAGGAAAAAATATATCTTTGGAGGTTAAAAAAAAAAAAATCACCAGTTTATAGTGGTATCAACATTTTTATGTGGGTGTGAGGCATGATCCTCAAACATTGCTGCAAGGAGAAGGAAGAGGAGACTGGAGACAGTGGAGATGTTATGTTTGAGTGCAATGGGTGGTGCAAATATTCTGCAGAAATTTGGGAGCACAGAAACTAGAAGACTATTTGGGTTTATGAGAGGTATATATATAATTCAAGTAGTGGAGGAGTTGTTAAAGTGGTTTGGACATTTAGAAAGGATGACAGAGATAGCATATAAATCTTAGGTGGAGAAGAGGAAATGTTCAGCTCATCCAAGGAAGGCATGAAGGAGGTTCTAAGTATAGGTAGTGGATTGAGCATCCAGCAGGCATGTATGAGTGTGCTGATTGAGGTGAGTAGAGACTAGTAAATTAAGATTTTGATGCATTGTAGAAGGGTGAGAAAGATAAATAACAAGAAAGGATTGAGGAAACCCAGGTAGCTGGAAAAAAGTGCTGGAGATGGGAGGTTCAGTGCCTGCACTCTGATAGAGGTTGGGATGGTGCTGTTTGGAGGGTCATATAAATTGTGATGTTAAAACACTTCTGGCAAGATAGCTATTGAATAAATTATGGTGATTTTTTTTTTATCAGCTTACATTGATGGAAGATGGTTGGCTAATGTGGATAAAAAAGTGGACAATGAAGCCAGTAATATGTATTGGTTGGTAGCTTTGTAGCTAGTGACAGCTTTTAAAATATTTTTTGTTTGATTTTGGAGTTTATTTTTCAATACAGTAATATGTATTGGTTGGTAGCTTTGTAGCTAGTGACAGCTTTTAAATATTTTTTTCTGTTTGATTTTGGAGTTTATTTTTAAATATTTTCAAAAGAGATGTCTTGAGAGAGACTGTAGCAAAAGATAGTGCTGGACTTGTGGGATTAGTTTGTTAGCTATTACATGGGAGTAAATGGGAAAGACAGACAGCAGAGGATGTGGAAGTCCACACTGTTGAGGTCTACTACTGAGAAGAACTATGTAAATTATGCCTAGTTAACCCATTCAGGGTCCAGGCCAAAATCTGAAGTGGTGCTCCAGTGTCCAAGAAATTTTGAAAAAAAAAAAAATTATTTTTCTACAGAATTTAAGAGCATATTTTTTGTGAGGTAATAAGACAAAAAAATAAATCTGATCATGTACTTACGAGTACGTGCCATGAGTTTGTCAAAATGATGTAGGTGGCGGCTTCATCGTCGAATCAACATACGGCATTTACATGATTTTGCGGGTTTAGTTGTTTTTTCTTTTCTTTTCAATTTTTTTTCTATTCTTCTAACATTTTGGGGCCTTGAGTGACCAATTCATATATAATGTATATATATAAACTTCACTGTATTGAACCACAATATCAGCACTAAAGTTATTATTCATATTATTGTTTAAAAAACCACTGTTGTTTATTTACCAAATAAACATGCACAATGTCTTGTCATATACTAATGTTCTATCTTTTATTTTCATATTTACAATCATGGACATGGTTTCTAGAACTGCTGGAGCTTGTGGAACTCTTGAAAAAATGCACCATGCCAGAGGCACCTTACATTCCTCACACATAAAAAGAGTGTCTTTGCGTTCTTTGTTGCGTTTTTTGTTTGTGCACAGACGATGCATCTCTTCTGAGCAAATTTCTTCTGTGTGGAAGGAAGGTTGTATATGAAATGAGCACCTTCCCTCACTAAATCGCTTGGGTATACTCCTGAGGATTTCGAGGACCGGGTTGCTTTTAGCAGGTGTTGTTACCTGGTACTTGATTATGAGTTGCTGAAACAGGACAAACTAAAATTCACCATCACCGGTGTCTGTTGTCAGTCTTTTTTGGACATTATTATATGCATTGAGCATTGTAAATGTCCATGAGATGGAAGAAATGTTTCACATGTACCACTTGTTAACTCTTACGAACACATTCTACAAAACCATTATGCATGTCACATATGTCTAAACAAGCCATGTTTTGTGTTTAATCAAATCACGTCACTGGTTTTCGGAATACGTTCATTAGTCACTCGATCAACTTGCCACTGTCTTGCATTTCATTAAGGTGAATGGTTGTCATCAATGTGACATCTCGTTTTTCATGCACCGTAATAAGAAAAGCATGATTGTTATTGGCAGTAACAACCTGCACGTCATCACCACGAGCACCTGCGTGAGCTGGGCATATGTTTACGATTAGAACGCACTGTGCCACACACATCTGTTCTTGTTCACTCGCATGAATCACTGAGTAATGGGCTTGTGTACAGTTATCGGTATATAAATGTATGCCCTTTCCAAGTTTAGGTGCCATCATGTTTTTCACTAGTCACCTGAAGATACCAATAATATCTTGGTATCTTTTCATGTTTACTACCCGGGGGGTTTTTGGTATACAACATTATCCAACACCTGGACACTGATAACTATCACAGAGTACAAACAGTGTTATACCCAAGCGTTTCCCTTGTCGGTACTATACTGCTGGAATGACGTCTACCTTTGAACCAAAAATCATAGGACTCGTCAATTACAGATTACTGGAATGGATAAAAGTATATGCTGAACTTTTGTTTGGATTATGATATCATTTCTAATCTTGTATAAACTGTCACTTCTGTCAGGCCTGGTTTTGTCAGAGAAGTGAACAGACGTAAGAGTAAGATAATCCTGGTTCACTGGTGTGATTTCACTGAAGGAAAGGGGTAGAAATTAGCGATCTGGGGTCCAGTATGCTTTTATATTATGCTTTTAACGTGAGGCACTATGCAATATGTTGCATAAAGCAATAATTTCTGCAAATGTCGTCTCTTTCCACCTGTGTAGTCTTGGAATGTGGTGATATAGTAGTATTGCCATGGTGTACTCAAAATAACCTTACTACTTTCCCTGACAATAATTTCCATCAATGGGCTGGTCAAGACTAATTAAAGATTTCCAGTTCATTGGACGTTTGGTTTCCAAGGGGGACAAGTAGTGTAGAATTTCACTTTGAGAGTCATCAAAGTGGTGAGGCGTGGGAACAATATTGGGATTTTGCTGCCAATACCACATACGGTTTGCTGGTGTATACTGGACTTATAGGCTGGTTGTGTGGGTGGTTGTGGTTGTAGTGGGCTGGTGGTGGCACGATCCGCTTTGTCCTTGAAACTGACGTGTCAGCAGCGTGGGTCCCAGAGTGGGCCTTGGGAGTCACGCATGGCGGTGCCACTTCCATCACCTTAACACATCCATGATGCCTGTGGTCTATCCATGCCAAGTGTAGCACATCTTCCTCACTTCACTAACTAAATCTGGGTGTTGGGCATCGGAGATTGTACTTCGGGTTTGTACTCGTCCCCTGGGACTGCTTAGGGTTACTCTACCCGGAGCGCTTGTGGCGGCGAACATACCGACGCTTCACTGGTGATATGATTCCTCAATATCACTATGAATGATCGTTCGAGCGCAATAAAATCTCAGTACGGTCAACTATCAATCTTCATTACTGAAGTCTGAGGACTGGCCTCGCGAAAAATATTAGTTTTTCTCTTGCGACTGAGGAAAAACCGACGTGAGTCACGAGGGCCACACCAGGGTAGAAGGTTGAGTTATCGTCAGGGTTTTCTTGCACTATTATCGATATCCTGTGTCATTCTTTTGGTCCTAAACTGATAAAAGCCGTTGAATTCTTCTTCATATCCAATCTTCCAACAGTGTCTGACTATCAGATAGGAAGAGGGTGAGTCCCAAATTTTCCGGGGTGTGGAGTGAGAGCTGACTTGCGACGAGGCATGGTGAACAAGGGTAACTGAGCCGGCGTTCCCACAATGCTATGCGGGCGCCTAGATTTTTTGTTTATGGCGCACACCCACCACGCAGACCCGTTCTCTCACATGTAGGCCTATGAGCGTTTTCGCGCTAAATTTGACGGTGCTAGAATTTTGGCATAGATCTACGGTTTGGACACTCAACGTAAAGCCGTTGATCTACGGGACGGACCCTGAAAGGGTTAAGAACTATAATGTATTATCTAAGTGCATGGGTCATGGATAAAAATGTACAGTTCTCCATCTCAAATGCAATTAATAGAGATGTTCCATAGTATTGGTGTTGGTGGGTATCAGTACCAGTATTGGTGGGTATTGGCTAATTTTTATGGTTTTAGTACTGGTGCCAGTATCAGTGGCTAATTTGATGGAATTGGTATAGGTCGAAAATTTGGCATTGTCCCATTACTAGCAGTTAGTCTTGTGGGTCATCTATTCTTAAAAACTTTAGATAATATTACATATTGAGCTTTTATCATTACTGATATTTTTATTGCTATTTTTAAGTGTGTTGCATTTCACTCAGGTACGTGTTGAAGGATACGTGGAGAAGCTGAGTGAAGAAGTATCCACTGAGTATTTTCATTCTCGCCCCCAAGGCAGTCAGATTGCAGCTTGCATTAGTCCACAAAGTCAGGTAAGGTTCTATGTTTGTCAATACCTCTGACATCATCCATTGTCAGGACCTGAGAGAAACCAGAAGATTCTTCTAGTTATTTTATTTGCAGGTTTCTTATAAGAGATGCCTTGATGCCAGTTAGGAGATCTTGATTTAAGGAACTTAATGATAATGATAATTTAACGAACTCATTTCCCAACTAGGGTTTGGTAGAATAACTTCTATTTCAAAGCTACTGTCAATATTGCAATTCACTTTCTGACATTTTTCAGAAAATTGGTAAAAAAATAGAAACAGAACTTCTTTCTTTCAACACACAAGCCGTATCCCACCGAGGCGGGGTGGCCCAAAAGGAAAAATGAAAGCTTCTCCTTTTACATTTAGTAATATATACAGGAGAAGGGGTTACTAGCCCCTTGCTCCTGGCATTTTAGTCGCCTCTTACAACACGCATGGCTTACGGAGGAAGAATTCTGTTCCACTTCCCCATGGAGGTAAGAGGAAATAAACAAGAACAAGAACTAGAAAGAAAATAGAAGAAAACCCAGAGGGGTGCATGTATATATGCTTGTACATGTATGTGGAGTGTGACATAATGTGTAAGTAAAAAGTAGCAAGGACGTACCTGAAATTTGCCATTTTTTGAGACAGAATAAAAAGGTCACGCAATTCTACCTAATGTAAAAAAATTACAGGGCTAACTTTCGTTTTAGGCTAACTTGGCCAGGACGTTAGTACCTCACTGGGTGGATGCTTGGTCCTACAAACCTTCTACCTGGAGAACAGAACTGTCACCCACATATTTTTTATTTTATTATTATTTAGGCCATCTTCAACCAAGGTAGGGTGGCTCAAAAATGTTTTCACTGTTGTTCATTTAATAGCTGTTCTGCCAGAAGCACAAAGATACCACCCTTCAAATAGCTTCTGAACTCTTATAAGCGAATGTTAACTTTCACATCATAAGTTTACTCTGGGCTGTCCTTTAATTCTTTTTTTCCCCTTTTCCATGTATTTGTGACAGCTTGGACTCTCAAGAAGCATTTCTAATTACAGAAAAATAAAATCAATCCAAAGATATTTTCATGTCTACTATTAAGACATTATTGGCTTATTTAGCAATCACGTTTCATCTATAAAAAATTAAATTCTATTAATTATACAATATAATTAACCAGAGAAACATGATATATATTCTAGAATAAATAAAATAGGCCATAATATGACGAGTGATGATGGCGGTGGAAGCGCCTACGTTTCGTCCTTGTTCTATCGCTTAATTCTTAACAACTGTTCAGGGTTTCGGACGTTACTAGTTACGGCTTACGCACCAGGGTTTTGTCGTAAATTCTGCGCCCTCAAATCTTGGGTAGAGTAAAAGGTGTGGGTCTGTTGTAGTCTGTGTGCACAGTATAAAAAAATACTGCAGCACACAGTGTGTAATGAGAAAAAAAAACTTGACCGTGTTTGTGGATTAAAAACAGTAACTTTGCACTGTATTTTCGTATGGTATTTATTGTTGTATTCTAGTATTGCCTGGTCTCATTTTATAGAATAATGGGAAGACATTTTACAGAAATTGAGTGATTTTTGACTGTTTTTTACACATGAAAAGTACTTGAAATTGAGCTCATTGTAGGCAGAAATGTTAGATTTTTACCAAAGTTCAAAAGTATACAATTCATGCTAAGTGTCCTATACACGTCAACTGGTGAGTCTAATATTTCTTTCACAAGTGCACCGATTAGTTTTTATTACTATACCATTTCCTACACTAATGAGGAGTCTTGCATAACAGGGTAAATCTTCTATTTTTTTGTGTGAATAAAAATTCTAAGTGGAAAGCAAAAAGAATGTAGAGGGGCGGGGGGGACGTGACTAATGAACAGAGGAATGTTATTTTAGTTCCAGGAATGTGATTTCTTGTTTATTTCTGGGGACCCTAATTTTGAAAAATTGGCATCTTTTGGAAATTTGTGTGAAATTGCATATTGCTAAATTTTCTGACCATGTTATTGGATAGCTTGTAAATTGGTAAATCGGTGGTTTCTTGTAATAATTTGATAGAGGAAAATGGAGTTTAGCAAAATAGTTATGATTTTAGTCGGATAGTACACTGGAATTGGCCGAACAATAGGGCTCAAAGTGGGCAAATCTGCCAACGCGTAGACATCGTCGAGAACAGCTAACTTCGTGAGAGCATAATTCTGTAAGTTTCCCATCAAATTTCATACTTTTAGTGTCATTATGATCGGGAAAAGATTCTCTATCTTTTCATAAGATTTTTTTTTTTTTTTTTTTTTTTTTTTTTTTTTTTTTTTTTTTTTTTTTTTTTTTTTTTTTTTTTGAAATTTGGGCGACCCTGAGAACAAGTCTGGGAGAGGGCCTGGGGGACCCTGAAAGGGTTAACTAACTTGCTACACTCTTAATGCTACACTTTATCACTGAACTTAACTGACACAATTTGTTTTGTTTAATCACCGAATTTAACTGATACAATTTGCTTTAATTCCATGGAAATCATCCTCTTTTTCTTTTCAGCACTGTTTTTTGCACTTATTTTCTTAGAACCTATGGTTAGAAAAAAGAAATTTGGCCAAAGGACTGTAAAAAAAAAGTGCAAGCAAGCACGAGAGAACTGCTCCCACGGCGATGTAAACATACCTTTGAAGAATTTTGAGAGTATATCTACTCTCTGAGCCCGGCCATGGGCCAGGCTCGTCTGGTGCTCACCTGTTCAATCAGGCTGTTGCTGCTGGAGGCCCACTGCCCCACATATCCATCACAGCCTGGTTGATCTGACATGTAGGCTCCTTACCAGTTGTTTTGCCATCGGCTGCACCAACTAGTTGCAGCATTCTGAATTATTATGTATTACATATGTATTATTATTATTATTAATTTAGGGAACTGAAGCTCACTCGTTATTATTATAATAAAATACTGTACAGTGGACCCCCGGTATTCGATGGCATCGGTATTCGATGCATTTTTATGCAAAAATTTTGCCTCGGTATCCGATTGAAAACCCGGTATTCGATACGATTCGTACGAGACGTGTCCACGTGTGGCCTGAACTGCCCCGTGTGTGCCAGTGTTTATAAGCCAGCCAGTGTGCACGCATCTAAGGATACATTCGGTACATTCCATATTATCACTATTTTTGGTGCTTGTTTCTGCAAAATAACTCACCATGGGCCCCAAGAAAGCTTCTAGTGCCAACCCTGTGGTAAAAAGGGTGAGAATTAGTATGGAAATTAAGAAAGGGTTTGGGGCTAACCCTGAGAAGCCTGTGCCAGTTGTGGAATCCATTGTGCCTACTTCAAAAATTAAGGAAATGTGTACACAGTGGGTTGAACTGCAAACCTTTATGGATGAAAATCACCCTAACACAGCTATTGCAAGCCGTGCTGGTGACTATTACAATGACAATGTTGTGGCCCATTTTAGACAAATCGTAAGGAACAGGAGTACAGAGCTCTGTGGACAGATTTTTTGTGCGACAAGGTCCAGTGATTTCTAAAGGGCGGCCCTAGGGGCTTTAAAAAGAAGAAGGGAAGAAACCCCCCGGAAAAGGACTTGCAACCCCCAAGCCCTAAGGGGAAGGGTTCCCTTCTAAAAACTAAAACCATCCACACCCCCCCCTCCTCCCCCCCCTCAATCATAAACCAATCTTCTTTAAAAGAAAGTGTAAATTTAATTCTATTGTTATTTTTTGTTTTTGTAATTTTTAAAAATTGCATTAAACTTAATTTTCCATGTGGAAAATTTTTTTTTTTAAATACTTTTAAAGGTGTCTTGCACTTTTAAATTTTGTTTTTCCATTTTTTCTTATGGGAAAAATTGTTTTGGGCTTTCGTTATTTTCGGTAGGGGGGGATGAGCTCTCAGGAATGGTTTTAATATCGAAAAACCGGGGGGCCCCACTGTACGGGAAAACCCCGGGGTTTTTGGGCCCGGGCTTTGGGTTTCGACCTTTTTTTTGGGCTCCAAATGCCCCGCGTTTTGGCCAGAATCCCGGGCCGGTCCCCCCCTTGCCCCACACTCATGACCGTCTAGCTTTGTTTACCCTTGAGTAAAACATTCCCCTGTGCACTATCCAAACATTTCCCAAAAAAAAAAAAAAAAAAAAAAATTCACGGGTTTAATGCTTGTTTATTGATTGTGTTTTGAAAAAAATTGAAGAAAAAAATTTGTACGAAACCCCAAAGTAGAAGGGGAAGAGGGGGGGAAAAAGGGGCCTTCTTCAGGATTCTGGATATGTACGTTTCAAAAGCAGCACAATCTTAAAGGTTTAAGTCCCAAGCCACTTAAAGTGTAGCTTTAACAGTTTTAGAAAGAAAGGGTTAAGAAATTTAATCAAAAAAAAAAGGAGGGCACAAACCCTTGACTCCCCCAAAATTGTTTTTGGATTTTATAAAGGAACAACAAGACCCCCGTTTTGCGGGGGGGCCCCCCCCCCATCACCCCCGCTATGAAAGGTTTTTTTTCCCAGGGGCCCCCTTTACACCCAAAAACAAACAACACAAAACCTCGTCGTTAGGGGGGAGGGGACTTATGACATATTTTATTCATTCAAGAGTATATATCATGTTTCTGTGTTATTAAAATTGTTTATTATGTCATATTAGATGAATTTTGCTAGATAAATAAGCCGCAGAGTTGATATTAGTGTCATATTGAAGGATTATCTTGTCCTGCCTCCAGACAAACTCTCCTGCCTCTCTCATACACCAACAAGAGTCTTCAGTAAAAGTAAAACTTATTTAAATATTTATTTATCCATTAAAATTAATGCTTTGTATTTATTTCTCATTGTTTTCTATATGTAAAACCATAGTATTTATTCTTTAAAAAAATTTATTTTTTTGTGAATATTTTTGGGTGGAGCGGATTACAGTGGACCCTTGATAATCGTAAGGCTCGAAAGTCGTAATTTTCCTAAATCGTAACGTTTTTTACGTCAAAACATTGACTCGCAAATGGTCATTTGTCTGGGATGGGTACACACGGCCCCGAGCTGCCTCACACTCCATTCCCATTTATCAGTGAGTGAGGATGATTCCACAAGTTCATATGATACATTTCATAATATTCCATTCATTTTAGTGCTTGCAACTGCTAAATAAGTCACCATGGCTCCAAAAAAAGCTTCTACTGCCAGCCCTTTGGTAAAGAATGTGAGAAACACACCTAATTTAAGAAAAAGTTAATAGAAAAATATGAAAGTGGTGGTGTTAGTGATGGTGGTAGAGGGTGGTAGTGATGGTGGTAGCAGTTGTGATAGTAGTAGAAGGTGGTAGTGATGGTGGTAGAGGGTGGTAGTGGCTGTGATAGTGGTAGAGGGTGGTAGTGATGGTGGTAGAAGGTGGTAGTGATGGTGGTAGCAGTTGTGATAGTAGTAGAAGGTGGTAGTGATGGTGGTAGAGGGTGGTAGTGGTTGTGATGGTGGTAGAGGGTGCCTTCTTCAGTGATTCAGCAATTCTACTAACTCCTCCAATGTTGTTAGAGTTATATAGGGCTACAGAAAACACTGCCGCCTCAGCTGCTGCTTCACCAACATTATGAATGGCTTATGCCCACAGTAGCCCTTATATACCCAACAACAACAACAGAACACCTCTTGTGACATTCATAATGGCTTATTTTACTCATTCTAGAGTATATTTCATGTTTCTATGTTATTAATATTGTTTATTATGTCATGTTATTTGAATTGTGATAGTTACATAAGCCGTAGAGTTGATATTAGTGTCATATTCTCTAACAATAAACTCGCCTTCCTCACTCTGCCCTGTCTGCCATACACCAACAAGAGTCTTCAATAAAGGTAGGTGTGATGTTAAATGTTCATTTATACATTTTATTAGTGCTTTACATTTATTTGGCATTCTTTTCTGCATGTAAATCTTTATGTAAGCTAGGGAAGTGACCCCTGAAGTGACCTCGAGTCCTTATGGAGGGGAATTCCCCTTCCAAACAATAACCTCTCTTCCCTCTCTCTCCTCCTCCCTGTCTTCCATTCATCAACAACAGCCTTCAATAAAGGTAACTGTCATGTTTAATGTTCATTCTTTTGTGCATATAAATCTATTTTTAAGGTAAAAAAAATTTTTTTGTTGAAACTTCAGGGTATCTGGAACGAATTAATTGGATTTATATTATTTCTTATGGGGAAAATGGATTCGCAAATCGTCAATTTCGATAATAGTCACACTCTCTGGAATGGATTAACCCTTTGAGGGTCGACAGGCCCTCTCCGAAACTCGTTCTCAGGGTCGGCCAAATTTAAAAAAAAAAAAAATTATTTTTTCTTATGAAAAGATAGAGAATCTTTTCCCGATCATAAAGACACCAAAAGTTTGAAATTTGATAGAAAACTTACGGAATTATGCTCTCGCAAAGTTAGCGGTCTCGGCGATGTTTACGCATCGGCGATTTTGCCCACTTTGAGCCCCATTTTCGGCCAATTTCACTGTACTAGTCGACAAAAAACATGAATATTTTCGCTGAACTCCATTTTTTCTATCGAATGGGTGCAAGAAACCACTCATTTATGAAATTCAACTATCCAGTACAGTGGTCAGAATTTAGCAATTTTTGCCAATTCACACAAATTTCAAAAGATGCCAATTTCGGAATAGGGTCCAGAATAAACAAGAAAGACATTCCTGGCACTAAAATGACATTTCCTCTATCATTATTCACGTCTCAAGGCCCCTCTTATATTCTTTTGCTTTCCACTTTGAATTTTATTTTCACAAAAATATAAGATTACTGTTATGCAGACTACTGCATTAGTGTAAAAAATGGTATAAATATTATTGGTGCACTTGTGAAAGAATATTAGACTCACCAGTTGACGTGTATTGCACGCTTGGCACGATTTGTTTAAATTTTGAAGTTGGTAAAAATCGAACATTTCTGCTACTTTGAGCTCAATTTCAAGGCACCTTTCTTTGTAAAACCAGTCAAAATCATCTCTATTTCTGTAATATGTCTTCCTTTCTATAAAATGAGACCAAGAAAACTAAAATCAAAAAAAAAAACCCCCAAAACAAAAAATACACTGCAAATCCTGATTTTTTCAAAAAAAAGGGTCAAATTTTTTTTTTTCTCATTAGGGCACTGGTGCTGCGGGATTTTTTTGGGACGTGCACACGACCCCCCAAAAGCCCCAAATTCTTTCAATGAAGGCCTCCCACTTTTTTTCCCCCACTTTTTTTATGGGGCCCGGCTAGAATTTTGAGTAAAACGAAAAAACCCCTACGTTAAGACTACTAGAAAAGACAAAACCCAAAAAGGGGAAAAATTTAAACCAAAAACGAGTTATATCTTAGGGGAAAATTGCTTCGACTTTAGGCCATTTAAACCTCAAAGGCCTGGGCTCCGGGAATGGATTAGGGCCCCGAAATTTGGGGGTTTCCCAAATTGTAATAATAATAATACAATTTTAAAAAAAATAAGGGAAAAAGTTTTCAGAACCCCAAACCAATTCAGTGCACTTTTTACCTAAAATGGGGGAGTATTTCCCCAAAGCTTAAATTAAAATTTTTTTACAGTTTTTTGGGGCCAAAATTTCTTTTTTCCTCAAAGCGGGGTCCTAAGGAATTTAAGTGTAAAGGACAGGACGAGAAGAAAAAGGGGATTTTTTTCCAGGAAAAATTTAAAGCATAAAATCATAAAATAAACAACCCGAGGGGGTGCGGGTTTTTTGAGTTGGGGGGAGCGGCCCCCTAACTTGGAGTTGGTTTGAAACTCAGAGCAAATAATTGAAAAAAGCAAATTCCCCTAAAAAATAAAAAAAACCGTATGTTGGGCACTTGTAAGCCCAAAGTTCCACTGTAAACTTCCTTTCAAATAAAATTAAGACCGAAAACCGAAAAATAAAACCCTAAAACCCCCAAATTTTAAAAATACACTGAAAAAGTTGCTTTTGAAAAAGGGAAAAAACATGGTTGCAGTTTTTTTTCCTAGTGCACTAAAGACCCAGGATTTTTTATAAGGTGCACACTTACCACATAACCCTTTAAACTCAATCAAGGCTCAAATTTACGGTCACAGCTTAGTTAAAGTGCCCGGGTTTCAGGGAAATTGTACTGGGGACGCCCAGGGGCTTCAAACCGTGATAAAAGGGAACCCAAAACACCAAAAGGGGTTTAAATCCCTTATTTCATCTGGGGGTTTTAAACCAAAGAATTGATATTGGGGGTTATCGACTAATTCTGATAGTTTTGGCCTAAGTTTAGAAGAAATAAGTATTGGCGAGTCAAAATTTTGGCCAAAATTTGCATCACCCCCTTCCCTAGTTTTATTTTACTTTTCACACCCAAGGTATGAAATCTCTCTAATTACAGGGGAAACCCCCTTTTTAAAGGATTTTTTTTTCCCCTCCAGAAGTATGTTCAGTTGCCAGTACTGACCGAATTTTTTCCCCATAAGGAATATTGTGAAGTAGATTAGCCCCATTTCAGACCCCCAAACAAAACGAAAAAAACACACTTCCCAAAAATAAAAAACTTACATAATTTTGCCCAAATTGGGGAGGTGATCATTATGGGGGGGGTCCACTGAAAATTTCCCAAATAAATAGTACTCTGCATTTCTTTTGCTCACGGGAGAAGATTTTATGTGACAGTGATTATCTGTCTTCTCAAATCACTTTTTTTTTCTGTAAAAACCTTTGGCATATAAATTTGTAGGGTTTTTTCCAGAAAAAATTTTTTCAGGAAAATTTTTTTTGGGTACTGGAAAAATTTTGGGTATGTTTGTAATATTGGACATGTCCACCAGGCATGTTTTAAGCGATTTAGATGGGAAAGATGGGGGAAGGGAGGGTTTTTTGGAAACCTGGCGACTGTTCGATTTGTGAGTAAGGTGACTTTTTTAAAAACCGAACTCGGGGCCCTGGAGAGGAAGAAATAGTGCCGGGCACCTAAAAGGAGGGGGGGGGATGTTTCCGTTTAAAAGGACATCTAAAACTGTCGTATCTTGCGTTTTTTTGACAAGACTTTGAGTTTTATAAATTTAAGGTAAAAATTTTTCCCTTTTTTTGGGGTTAAACCCCTGTTTTTCGTGGAGACGCCAGTTTTTAAAAAAAAAAATGATCAGCCCAAAATTTAAACGTTTTGATGGAAAAAATTTACACATTATTTTACCTCTTTTTTCTTTCAGGAAAAACCCTGGCCGCCAGTTCTTACTAAAAAGATGAACAAATTCAGAAGAAAAAGATGAGGATAAGGTGATCCCCAAACCAGAGGGGGCTGGTGAAAATTTAATTTTTTCGGGTTAAAGTATAGGGAGATGTAAAAAAAGGGGCATTAAAAAACCTGTAGTGAAACCTTCTTTCGGAAATTTTCAGTAAAATGCGTTCAAAAATTTTCTTCTCTTTCTTCTTTAAAACAAACCACCGACCCCACCGAACAGGGGGGCCCAAAAAAAAAAAAAAAAATTTTTTTTTTTAACTAGAAAATTTTTTTTTATTATTTTTTTATCACACGGGCCCGATTTCCCCCCCAAGGGCAGGTGGCCCAAAAAAGAAAAACTTTCACCATCTTTCCATTTCCATCACGTCTTGCCAGAAGGGTGTTTTAAAACACTACATTTTTTTTAAAACTGAAACCCATTAAAAACCCCTCCTTCAGAGGGGCAGGCACTGTATTCCCCATCCCCGGGACTCAAGTCTCCCCCCCCGGGTTTCCCTAAACCCCCCTTCTTTAAATTTTAACCCTGCTCACATTTCCAAAAGCACGTCAAGAAATTAAAAACCTTTTTGTCCCCCATTCACCCTTTTAAAAACACGTTTAAACCAAAGGCCTGCTGGAAGTCCAAGCCCTCCACACAAAACTTTTTTTACCCCCTCCCCCCCCCAACCCTTTCCTAGGCGACCCCCCCCCCCCCATCCTTCCACTACAGACTGATACACTCTTGAAGTTATTCTTTTTTCGTTTTCCATTCCTCCACATGCCCCAAACCCAAACCTAAACCCAACCCTTCCTCGGGCCCCCCTGGACAACATTTTTTGGAAAATCCCGCACCTCCTCCTAACTTCCCAAACAAACGAATTCCCCTGATTAAAATTCACACCAAAACATTGCTCTAAAGACTGACATCCCATTTGGCCTCCCCCCTTCCCCTTCGCTGCAACTTTCCCATCACCCATGCTTCACACCCTTTAAAGAGGGGTTGGTAAAACTATACTCTCAAACCCCCCCTTTTTGGGCCCCCCAAGGGACAAATTTCCCTTTTCCTCCACAGACCCCCCAAAGTGAAACCCCCTCACCCCTTTTCCCCTCATCAATTCAAAGATTAAACCTTTTAAATTTTTCATAGACCCCCATCCGCTGAAAACGTCCACCCCAAATTTTCTGAATACATTCACCCCTCCATACTCCTCCCCCCAAAAAAAAAATTTTCCCCTGAATCCAATCTTTCATCACCTAATTTTTTTTTGTTACCCAAACCTTACTCTTTCCTGTTTTTCACTTAAATTTTTCTTTTTTTGCACACCCTCCCAAATTCATCCCCCAAATCTCTGCAACTTCTCTTAAACCTCCCAAGACACAGGTCATCAGCAAAGAGCAACTGTGCCAACTCCCACTTTGTGTGATTATTTATATTTTAACTCCACGCCTCTTGCCAAGACCCTCGCTCTAGTAATGTATACAGGAAAAGGGGTTACTGGGCCCCTTGCTTCTGGCAGGGTTTGAGCCGCCTCAAAAGACACACAGGGTTTTGTGGAAAGAATTTTTGTTCCACTTTCCCCAGGGAATAAGAGGAAATAAACAAGAAAAAAAACTATTTAAGAAAACCCAGAGGATTGTATATAAAAGCTTGTAAATGCATGTGTAGTGTGACCTAAGTGTAAGTAGAAGTACAAAACTTACCTGAAATATTAAAGTTTTTTTCGAGACAGAAATCAGAAACCATCAGTTCTAACCTTTATGTAAAACAAAAACAGGGCTGTTCAATTTATTTCAAAAAATTATGGGACTTAGTTTGCCTTAGTTTAACACTAAAAAATTTTTAAAAAGAGCCCGGCATAAAACTTGTCTGTTTTCCCAAAATTTTTTTTGGCCCGGGGGAAAGGTTTGATTGCCTTGGGCTTTAAAAATCATACCACATAAGTTGCAAAAGGGCCCCTTTTCCTGAAGACAAAACCAAAAACCCCCACCCCCTCAGCTAATAACCCCTAAAATGACTCACAGTTGTCTTTCCGCTCAAAGACTCCCCATAATTTTTTCTTTAAAACTTCATCAACAACAAAGAAACCCAAAAATTTAAGGTAGGATAAATTATTCTTTGTCACTCTTATAAACAAATTTTTTTTTTTTTAAAACATTGGGTATCTCCCACTGAGGCAGGGTGACCCAAAAAGAAAGAAAATACTTTTATCATCATTCAACACTTTTTATCCCACTCATACAAATCACTTGGGCATTTTCAGAAAGGGGCCCCAGATACGACAGTTAGAAGTCCCTCCAAACTTTCCAAAGTCCCCCCAAAACCACCTTTAAAGTGCAGGCATTTTATTTTCGCATTTTTCCCGACTCAAGACCCGGGAACCTGTTTTCCCCCGAATCCCTTCACAAAAATTTCCCTGTTCACACACAAAAGCTCATCCCGGGGCCCCAAAAACCATTCATCTCCTTTTACTCCCATTTAACACCCACCTCAAATTTTTAATTAAAGTAATTTGGGGGAAAAAAGGGTTTATGGGGAGGGTTTCCCGGGTGTACATGTTTATAAAAGGGGGAACTGGGTAATCGGATTCAATTTTAATTTTTTTGTAGGTTTTAACAGTTAGAGTAAGAGGTAAATTAGAAAAGAGGAAGGTGGCAACACAAGTAAAGGGAGGTGAAAGTGTATAAACTAAGGGAGGAGGGAAATTTTGGGGGAGATATAAGCGACTATTGGCAAAAGGGGGCTAGTGCAAAGTGAGTAGTTTGGGGGGGGAAAAAAAGGGTTGGAATAGTTTTAAAAAAAGCAGTATTTTGAATGTGGGGCAGAAGTTTGTGGTTTTAGGAAAGGGGGGGGGCAGGGGGAAAATGGGGTGATTGGGGAATGAAGAAATAAAGGGGGTTTATAAAAGAGAAAAAGGGGAGCTTAGAGAGGTTTTTTACAAAGCAAAGGTTATAAGAAGAGCAAATAATGGGGGATAAAAGAAAGGTAAAAAGAGTGGTGAGAGAGTGCAAAAGGGGAGGGAGATTAAAAGAGTGGGAGAGGGACTGTTCCCAAAAAATTTTAATGAAAATAAAAAAAAAATTTTGGAGTGATTTTTAAAAAGTTTTAAAAAAGCCAAAGGGGAAAATAAGGATTTTTTCAGTTAAAAACAGAGTAGGGAGTTAGTAAAAGGGGATTTGGGTATAGGGTTTGAGGCAGAAAAATTTTTTGGGGAAATTTTAAATGTTTTAAAAGAAACAGAGGGGAGAAAATTTCCCGCAAAAGGGGCAGGGAGGTATACCAATTTTTAGGAGTGAAGAAGAGGGAAAATGTAAGTGTGGGGGGGGTACGTGAGTTTTTACGTAAAAAAAAAGGGGGTAAAGCAGCTGGAAAAAAAGATGGGGCAAGACAGAAAAGTTAAAAAACAAGGGGGGATATAGTGTTGGAGTGGTTTTTGGTACTTTTGTTTTTTTAAAAGTATGAAAGAGGGGAAGGTACCTAGGGGGTTGGCGGAGAGCATGTATAGTCCGTTTTTATAAAGGGAAAAGGGACAAAAGAACTGTAAAAATTATAGAGGAAAAAAGCTTTCGAAATATACCAAAAAATTTTATGGTAAGGGGTTTTAAATGAAAGAATTAGAGGGAAGACAGAATGTTTGGATTGCGGAAGAGCAAAAGGGGGTTTCAGAGGGGGTAGGGGGTGTGTAGATCAGTGTTTACATTGAAAACATATATGTGGGAAAAGTATTTTAAAAAAGGTAAGGGGAATTTTTATTGCATTTTTGGATTTAAAAAGCATAAGATAGATGGATAAAGGGCAATGTGGGGAATGTTGCAAGTATTTGGAATAGGTGGGGAATTATTTAAATCTGTAAAGAGTTTTTATGAATAGGAGGCCTCAGGTTTGGGGGTGTTTGAAGAGAGGGAGACTACTTTTTCCCGGGAAAAAAAGGTTTTTAGACCCGGGGGTGGAATGCACCAAGGTTTTTTTAATATATTTATAGGGGGGGGTTGTAAAAAGGGAAATAAATGCTAGGGTGTTCCCGGGGGAGGGGGGGGATTAAATTTTTGGGGGAAACAAATTCAAAATGGAAAAAAACACAGTTTCTTTTTGCTGATGAAACCGTGCTTATGGAGATTCCCAAAGAAAAAATTTCAAAAAGGGTTTTGGATGTTTTGGGAAGGGGTGTAAAGGTAGAAAGTTGAAAGTGAAAAATAGAAAAGAGTAAGGAGAGAGGGTGTCAAATGATTTAGATAAAAAAAAAACTGGGTATTTAAATTGGGGAGGAGGAATATGGAAGAAAGGAAAAAGTTTTCAGAAAACGTACTTGGGGGTTGACCCTGTCGGCGGATGATTTTTGAAAAGGGTGAGGGTTTAAACATAGAAATTTATGAGGGAAAAAAAAGGGGAGTTTGGGGCGTTGAGGGATATGTGGGGTTTTAAAAAACGTTATCTATTGGGGGGCAAAGAAGGGACTGAATGAAAGAAAGTAGTACCAACACTCTTATAATTTTGGGGTAAGCTTGGGGGGAAAAAGCAGCAGCGAGGGGAAAGGTTGGAGGGAGTGGGGAATTTTTTGGGGGTTTTTAAAGGGGTATTGTTGGGGTAAAAATTATGCAGAAAAATTTGGAGTGTTTGGGAAAATTTGGAAAAAAGGGGGGAGGTTTTAAAAAAAGTATTAGTCGGAGGGGGGGGAAGAGGGGGTTTTTGAGTGGTTTGGTCCCTTTTGAAGGGGAATGGATAAAGTAAGAAAAGACATTTGGGAAAACAAAATAAATCTATAGGTAAGGGGAAAGGGGGGGTTGGGGCGCCTTGAAAGGGTTGGAGAAGGGGGTAAAGGAGGTTTTTTTTGGGGAAGGGGCTTGGGCTTTCCCCAAGCGTGCGTGAGCGGTTAGATAGGAGTGAATGGAGACGAATGGGGACTTGGGGCCGACGATCTGTTAGAGTGTGAGCAGGGTAAATTAATGAAGGGGTTCAGGGAAACCGGGTTTTTTTCAATAGTCGGGCTTTAGTCCTGGAAATGGGAAGAAAAATTCCGCACTTTAAAGGAGGGGGGTTGGAAAATTTTCAGTTTGGAGGGGTTGTTTTGTATCTTTTATAATTT